GGTGTAACAATTAAGGAACTAAGCTCTTGAAGGTCAAGATCAACCAAACAACAAGGAAAATGTATTATTCTAACATTGGTTTAGTTATTGATTTCAAAAATATGTATGTTAGATTAGGGTTTTGCTTTGGAAAGTTAATTTGCAGTATAACTTGAGAAAAAGCTAGATCCAAAGCAATTAGGGTTGCATGTGCACCATAGGAATGTTGTAATACATAAAACCCATCAGATCTCACCCTGCCATCAGCTACTGAAGAACTCCCCATAATGTCAACTAACCACTTCATAAATACAACCACATACAACAAAGATTAGATAATTCTTTGAGTAAAAGACTCATCCCTACAATGGTTGGACTCAGACAAGAGTTATGCAATAGGGTCGAATCCATCACTCAAAGATTATTCAACCTTTGCCACATTAGACTTAACACATTCATTTAATAGTTAACTCACATCACTAAGAGTTCTACAAAGCACAAAGCAATCACTATTTGTGCAGTAAGACTCCAAGCCATAGAACAAACAAAGAACATCAACCACTCACTACTACAACTCATGTTAGGAAATTTCACTCTCATTTCTGGGTTGCCTTATGCTTGCAAATTATACACAATACAGGATCAAATAGAGTGTCGAATAAAAGACTCTACCCTAGGATCACAACCAGACAAGGAATAGGAAATAAGGAAAAATTAGTCATTCTGAGGCTATATGATCCTAACCGTATACAATTTTTAAAGCAGACACTTAACAATTACTACTACCAATACATATTCCCAATCATAGCATCTAATGATTCCTAGGCTACGAGGCATCACATATCAGGTCAATCTATCATGCAATTCCTGAAGGAATCCCTGGCTTTATCCTAGCATGCAAACATTCCTATCATATAACATATGAACATGTATGGATATTCTAGGAATCGCTTACTTTAGTTCGGCCGGTTGCACGCATCACACCCTTTTTATTTACAAAAGTATTTTTAGAAATTTTTTTTCTTTTAAAAGATTACTAACACCTCAGTTTGAGTTTAGTAACACTCGAGAGTGTGCCTGAATCCCTCAAACCAAGACTCTAATACCAACTTGTAATGACCCAAAAATTATAAGGTAAAATTTTCATTTTTAATTCCACCAAAAACATCAATTATCATTTTTCTAATTATTCAAAGGTATTTCAGAACAAAAACAGTTGTCAGAGTACAATCCCAAAATCATGAAGTTGTGAAAACATGGGTGGATGCGCTGCGATCAAGTCGGGCCCTTCCCTTTCGAACCGGAAGCACCTGAAACCATAACAATAAAACCGTAAGCACAAATCTTAGTGAGTTTCCCAAAATACCACATACCATACATATCATTATGCCTAGCCCACACATTGGGCCCATCCCACCATAATGGGCCTACCCTCATGCAATGGGCCTAGCCCAAAATACAAATGCAAGAGTCACAGAGACAACGAGCATGATACGTAACATACAATAGGCCTAGCCCTTCCTGATCCATGGGCCTAGCCCAACATACCATGCAAGAGTCACAAAGACAACTAGCATAATAGATCCTAGTGGGGCCTTCGACCCACGGGTACAATGAGGAGACTTATCTCAATCCAACATAACCGAGCACACGAGTTGCTGCTGCTAGAATCCTCACACTAAACATAACCAAATTATCCTTAATCAATAATTAAGGTATTTTCCCAAAATCCATGGTCAAAGCCATATGCAATCCTTCCGATAGGTAAAAGACCATTTACCCCTCTTATAACTGACCAAACAACCAATGGCCCAAACTCTAAAAGACCTAAAACCCAAAAGGCCCGAAATGAGCATCTTAGGAGTATTCCCTGCATACTCAACTCGTACGTCTTGTGTACTCCTTTTTGATGCACAATGTACTACTCGTCAAGCATGAGGACGGGACACCATGCTCTATGCTGAGCGTACGCGTATATACGCCCAACGTACTCACCAGGTGACTAAATCCTTCATTAAGCACTTAATGCTTAATACCAAAACGTCCAAACTCATATCTAACCTCTAAATAAGGTATTAATCCATAAAGTTGCCAACTTTACTCCTTTTCATGCCTTAATGGGACCCAAAAACCTGTTGTTATCCATCTAAACCCATAATGTGAACACCAACTTAAGCATGATTCAACCAAACCCATCAAGATGACATTTGTTTGCACCTACAACCTCAGAAATGGTAAGATCTAACATTCTAAGCTCCTGGAGTAGCTCGTACGCACAAGAATGACTCTAGGGACCAAAATAAACCCAAAAATGGCCAAGACTAGATCTAACACATAGAGTCATCAAGTTATAAGCTTTATACCTCCTGAACTTGATGAAGATGATTAGAGATTGGATCCACAAGCTCCAAACTAAGCAATGCTTCCAACAAGATATCCTTCTTCTCCAAGGCACACCAAAATGACACCAAAAGCCTCAAGAATGCTCAAATGAAGGCTAGGGTTTCGAATTTAGGGTTAAGGTCAATCGAGGCTGAAGATAATAGGGTTTGAACATAAACTAAGGCCTTTAAAAAGGGTGCAAGACCCTAAATTAAGGGTTGTACCTGACAAGAGTACACCTTGCGTACTACTGGTACGCCCAACATACCCAAGGCCATACACGATCCATTCGAGCTAGTACCCCCGGCATACACCTTGTTCACCCAACGTACTAGGCTTAGCCCAAAAACCTCTTAACTTTTGAAGGCCATAACTTCTTCAATCTAGGTCCGATTTTGACGATCCTTATATCCACGGAAAGGTAATGAGAAGCTCTACAATCCTATCAACTCTCATTTTCCTTAAAACTTTCTGAACTTAAATCCAAAATTCACAAAGTCCCAAACTGCCACTTTACAGTTATACCCTTGGGCTCCAAAGCACAAACTAAACTCTCGGATCTCCTAATCTACGTTATGCACATCCAAAGGGGTCTAAATCTCTCTTTCCCCAAGGCCCCAAACCTTATGATAATTTATCTTCGGGTCATGGCCCCGAATTAGGAAACGATTCAAAACAGGGTGTTACACACTAATTTGGGACTATAAAGTTGACGTGCTGTCACAAATAAAAAAATCATTGTTACTGGACTTTACGTGGTCACCGTCACATTAATTTGAGATGATTAAATGACATCGAGATTGTCAAGCGTGTTTGCATGATTATTCAACTATTGTTTGTGATCCTCAATATCCCAGTCACAAATAGAAGAGCGTAATCGAAGATTAAACATGTGATTGATAAGATTCAATGAATCTCAAAAGATCTTGGAATTTCATATTAGATTGAAATTGATAAATTGTCTTACCTACCCTTATTAATTTGCAATAAGAATACGACATCTCTCTTCTTGATTGTGATTTGTATTTTGGTTCCTAGCCTTGAATATTTATTTTGGGTTAAAATATTAAGGATTTTTGTCAACTAACTAAAAATTATCTATCTTTTATATATATATATATATATATATATATATATATATATATATATATATATATACTCCTAGAGATGCTACTGCTGCTCAATCTTCCACTAACAACTTGAAGTTGACTCTTCTATCTATCCTATCAAAAAAATAAATTAGTTGGTCCAAACTACATGGACTTGATGCGAAATCTCAAAATGACTCTTCTATACGAGGGCAAAGACTATGTTCTTGATAAAACTCTACTCGAAGTCGATGATTCAACTGCTACTCTAGGGGAGCTTGCCACCTATAACCAACACTATGATGATGCAACAAAGGTCGCTTGCATCATGGTTGCAACCTTGGTACGTGAGTTGCAAAAGTTCTATGAGGATTATTGGTTATATGAGATGTGCTTGGATCTTGTTGAAAAGTTTCACATGAAAGCACGTTAAGAGAGGTATGAGGTCGTCCAGGCATTATTGGCATGCAAGTTGAAGGAGGGAGAATATGTCTGCAATCATGTACATAGAATGGAGAGATATATGGAGTGTTCGGAAAACCTCAATGTGTCCTTTGACAAGGAGTTGGCCATAGACACGGTCCTAAACTCCTTGCTTCCCAATTATGATTAATTTATCTTAATGTACCATTTGAACAGCATGGAGACCACATTGAACCAACTCCACAACTTATTACAGACAATAAAATCATGGATGAAGAAAAATCAGGTCCCTTCTGCCATAAGTGCTCATGTCTTTGCCATTAGGCAAAACAGAGGAAAGAAAAGGAAGACTAATCCTCAATCGAACTGGGAGGGCAAGGCCCATGGTGGAACATCTAGTAGTGGGTGAAAGTCATAGCCCAATTATGATATTCTTGTTGTTAGTGATCCCAAAGAGGGCACTTGCTACTATTGTAACAAAAAAGGACACTAAAAATAAATTTGTCCTAAATACTTACAAGATTTGAAGGATGGCAAGGTCAAGCCATCTGCACCAGGTATATACACTATTCTTACTATAATATGAATGTTTTGGAATTTATGAAATTTATTAATGCTTGGAGTGAAAAAAACACGAGGAAATGTGATTTTTTCTAAAAGATTGCTTATTAGTCTTACTTTTAGTTATATCATATGAAGTCAAAATTAAAACTTACGTGAGTTAACAGTTCAAAAAAAATTGCTAAAATATTTTACAAATTTTGCTTTTGTTGGTTTCACAAGATCATGGAACATGTTTTAAATTACAAATTTGTTTAGGATTCACTTCATTACAAAATTATTTAGAACCAAACAACTTGTAAGGCAATAAACACCAGAATAAAAAGTAAAATTACATCATTCGTCTCTCGTGTATATGCCAGAAAACGTGTTTAGTCCCTATTTTAGAAAAATAATTCGGACCGTCCTTCTTTTGTTTTAACCTTACATGCTTCATCCCTGAAACACGATTTTGTTGCGAATTTAGTCCATGCTTAATTTAAAATGACCATAATACCCTTCTATATATATTTTAAATCAATTTATTGTTTTTTTTATGAATTTGAATTAAAAAAAATAAAACAAACCCCATCCCCTTCATTTTCCCCGGCATATCCACCCCTTCACTGTTACTGATTGGAAAGAAGCACTCAAACACACACATACAAACTGTCGGCCACCACCACCGTCTCCACCCTCCAGCGAACATTCCCCACAACTTTCTGATGGGTGGTTGTGGTCATCGTTCTAGAGCCTTTTCGTCGGAATCTGGTGCTCTTCTTCTCCGGTGGAAACGATAGGATCTAACAGAGACTCATGTGATGGTCTTCAACTTCTTTCTCTACCCTCTTTCTTAATATAAATATGACAGAGGCTCCTTTTGATGCCCACCCTCACCCCCGCCTCTAAGTTACCGTTGCCACTTCACATGTGTGCCGCTATCACGTTGGTTAGGGTTTCTTCGACAGATCTTCATTCAAAACATCAATCTCCACAGTTAGAATCGAAGCTCCACAGTCGAATCTACATATGTTCAACTGAAAATCTCCGTCTTCGTCAACACCTGTTCGCCGAAGATGGAGCGTTCATCGCCACCTGTTGGGTTTTACACCGATTTGCGCTAGGGATTTGAGATTTACAGGTTGGATTTGCAGATGCAGGGTGACCGGTGGAGTTGCATAAAAGAAGAGAAGATTTCTGAGAGGGACTACGATGGTGATGCTTTTTCGGAAGTCGACGATCTCCTTCTTCACTTGTGTGCCATCATCGGACGTCGTCGATGAAGTTTCAGATGGAGGGTTTCAGATCGAGGTGTTGCTGGAGGAATAAGGAGGTGGGAAGAGAGGAGAAGGGAAGTGTCGTAAAGAGGGGTGGAGATTTTTGGTTTATTTTTTTATTTAAAACTGATAAAGAAATAAAAGAAAATCTAAAAAGAAATAAGTAAGGGTAAAACAATCATTTCATTTTAATAGGGACTAAGCGTGTAAGAAAAATCAAACCAAGGGACGGTTCAAATTAATTTTTGAAAATAGAGAATAACCTTTTTTATCCAAACATTTTAAATGATTTTTTAGTGCACATTCAAACATGTTATCCATTGAATTCCACCAAGTAGGAAAGTTCCAATTCTAAGTTTCTAACCCAACCAAAAGAAGTTGCCTCTTACAAAACGTTATATTGCAACCTTTCTTTAAAACTTGATCTAACAAGTTTAATGAATTTAAGTCCGTCTACTACAACCAAGTTTATTATGTGTGCAAAACTCAAGTACCAAAATAGCGTCCTTTGAAAAAAAATTTATATTTGATTTTTAGTTGCCCAAGGACTTTGGTTTAATTGGACACAAACATAAAAATAAAAAAAATAAAAAAAAAAAAGTAGAAAATGATTCATTCTATAATTTAAAAACGATTATTACATATTCTAAATTTGTATATAAATTATGTCTGGTTTGTGCATATGTTATGATACTTATATGGTTGTGTCACAAAATTGCCCGAAAACAAACCCACATACTCACACGTCGGACCTACATTTCAACCTAGAAAAGTTCCTTGATCTTAAAACTGTCTGAAACATAAAACATATTGATATTTCTTGCAAATTTCTATAGGGTTTTGAGTCGCATCATTCCAATACCATATAACTCTTAATATGATTTTTATTTGGTAGTGTCAAAAATCGTGTTTGTTATATACATGGTAAACTTCAGGAATGGTTATAATTATGTCGCGATTTCTTTATTCATGTATTATTACATGTTATTATATGACATAATTATAAAATCTACATATATAAGTACTCAATTTCTTAGTAGTTACTACATTGAATTAAAATCCGCGTACTTCTGAAATTGCTTCAAATTTTATAGCTTTTTACCTCACTTCTAATCTTCTATAAATCACTCCCAACTTTATATATATATACAAGCTAGCTACCTTTGAAGTGACACACCATCTTCATTATAACTCCATTTTCAGCTGACTAGTCAGCCAAGAAGCTATTTACAATCAACAAAATTGGTTCAATCAAATGAACATTATAATTAATTACATGATAACAAGATTTTATTTACGTGATAACAAGAATTTGATTACGGATTTAATTAATTACCTGAATTACCTGAAGAGTCGTAGCTCAAAAGTGAGGTCTCTGTTGTTACGAAGTTACTGAGTCCATCAGGATGCCATATTTCTTGTGTGTTCCCATTCACTTCTCCATCAGGCCACCATGATTGCGAAGCCAACCCCGTGAAGTTGCACTCCATCGGGGACCCACTCTGCAAAATTTTCAAAACATTGGTGAAATAAACAAGTAAATGATTGTCATGAGAAAAAGCCAACATATAACATACTTATACTGTTGTTTGACCTGTAACAGATTCATACTAGGTAAGAGGCTTATACTAGAACTGATGTCAATGAGATAAAAAAAATATTTTTTAGTTGCACCAAAAAGGTGGAGCAACATAGAACTTGTGTCATCTTGTCTATGTAAAAGACGTTAATATCCTCCTTACTGTTTACCTACACCTTTTAATATTAAAAAAATTATGTCAGCCCACAATATAACACAAAATATGGTTTTATACTACTGATTAACATTAAATATGGTGTTGGAGTTTCTTTATACAAATGGTTCTTTTAACTTTGAGTTTGTCTTCTTTTTAGTTTATTATTATAATGTATAAAAATATTATATATCTAACATTGGTTACTTGTGACATTATAGTAAAGATTAAATTGATCTTAACTTATTTTTACCTCGGAAGAAAACAAACTTTCGAAGTTGATATCAGCTCTTGGGTGAACAGCAGCGAGTTTCATCGATAAAAACTGCAATAAAATTGAAGGTTTTGAGAAGAAAATGGTAATAATTATTATGAGACCAAATTTAAATTGATATTAAGATCGATAAAAGATTGTAATAGTTTGAAAAAGACTAATTAATTAACCTCTACTTGAAGTTGTAGGGATTGTACATGATTGATGATCTCCTCAAGCACCATTGCTGTACCAGAAACCTACAATTTAGAGTTGATGAGTCTCAAGGAGTATATATTATTAATTATATAATATTTGTTAATGTAGCATTATAGACCATTTTTTTAAATGGGTGTAATTGAATATTTCTCTTGATGTAAAAGATAATGAAAAATAGGTGTAATGCATAGAAATAATAAATTTATCGTATCCTTACAATAAGATATTTATGAGTAGTGTATTTATTGCTAAAGCTAGCAAAATAAATGCCATAATTTCCATTTATATAATATCAATAATAAAATGTATTTTTTTTATATTCTTCCAATAATAATTATAATGTTCATAATATAATTTTATTTTGGCTAATTTTTAGTGCTTTGTTTGGTAACCTTTTAAGTTTTAAATTAAAAGAAAGATTTTTAATTTTTGAGACTCAAAGGTTTTGATAGCCTTTTATCTTTTAATTATTCAATAACCTCTTAATTTTTAAAATAATAAGTTATATTTAAATAATTAAAAAAAAAAAAAGTGTTCGAAATGATCCTACTTTTTCAACCAACTATTTTTCTTTTCTATTTTACACAATCCCCTCATTTTTTTTCATTCAAACCTTTTAAAAATTTAGATCCTGTGTTGTATTAATGTCACAAGCAATTATTAATTTTAAGCCACATAATCTTCTATTTTAAAAGTAACTTTTTATTGTATTTGTTTAGTGGGATTATATGAAAAGTCAAATGTGGTTATGGCTAACCTTGTTACAACCAGGGACCAGTTCTTGCAAAAGCTTCATCCGAGCATTGATCTTCTCCCGTCTTGCCTGTCAAATCAACCAATAATCAATCCATAATTATTGATTTATAAATGCACTGATTTTGATGAATGATTATGAGTTTATGATTACTCGTTCAGCTAAGCTATGGCTATCAGTAGCTTCACCCCGTCGAGCTCGAACATGAACGTACGGAAGCTTCTCGCGTTCGGTGACTTTTGCAGCGGTTTTGCTCTTCTTCGCCGATGATTTCACCTAATTTTGATAAATTTTGCTTCTAATAGGTCAGTTACTTGAAATTAGAATCGTAGAAATCGAGGTAAAATGGCGAATCAAGTCACAAACCGTCTTATCTCGATCCTTTCGTTTTGTTGACATTGAATCTATTGGATCTGAGGAAATCGGTGATGAATTGTGCAGGGAACCTGATTCCAGAGGCTCTTGTTTCACCGGATTACTGATAATAAGGTTCGGATTTTGTAGGATTAGAATCGATCCCGTCGTCTCCGGCGAATTCTCCTTCGCCGTCACGGAGGGGAAAACGTTTGGTGTTTCTTCCTCCGGCGAATGCAGAAGCTTCACCGCTTGATTCGGTGGAAGCTCGAGAAGAGCCGTGAAGGAATTGCCAGTCTCCAGCGGTGGTTCCGCCGACATCAGGTTATGAATCTCTTCATCCACAAACTGAAACGCTTCCAAATTCATATTTCTTCGAAGAGGAATCACAGCCAAAATATCAAAAACTGTTTAACTAAAAAAGGACTTTATAAAAGCACGCAAAGTTGAAGGGGGGCCAGACTGAGACAAGTTGCTTCGAAAACTGAGAAGTCATTGGCAATGACAATGGCAATGGCAATAGCAATGGCAACTGGCAACCGCTGACGGAAAATGACGGAAGGTAAGGGTAAGTGCACTTTGTGCGGCAGAGAAAGGCGTTCAGCTTTCTCTGTTTTCAATGAAAAAAAAAGCCCCTCAAAAACTGGATATCGTACTGGTTCTTCAATGGCAGTCAATCTGGCAAGGTATGTGTAGCTTTATTGATTCTTGTTTTCAAGAAGCCATTTAGAGTAGTCCGAAAGCAACGTTTTCTGTATGGTCCCCTGGCTTCAATTTGATTCTGCAACCAAATTCATCTTTCTTTTTTCTTTCTTTCTTTCAAGAGAGTTGATGGCGGGGACCGGATCGTGCATCCGTATCCGACCCCGGTGTGTCTTAAGTCTTAACTACGGAAGATGATCCATCGCTGTCTTCCATTATTTTTTAGGCATTCTCACTTCATGTACTTATACTTACCCCTTTTCTATCATTTTAATATCAAATGACGTTAAAAGGAATATCATATTTCATTTTATCTTATATTATTGATAACTCTTATTCATTCCTATTATAATAATAATTATTTTTTGTTGAATAATTTAAAACCAGAGGTAGCACCCTCCCTCAAATTTTTAGGGATACTACCCCTCAAATTTTTAGGCATAATTTTTTTTGAAAAGTTTCATGTTCTATGTAAAATCATGTATAGTATCCCTTAATTTTTTTTTTTTTTTTTTTTTGGTCATGAGTCCTCCACTTATTGTAGAAGATTTGTATATTTATGATAAAGAATATATAATTTAAAATTAAATTAATTTTAATTATGCATACAAGTAAAGAAGTAGGTTTGTTTGAAAACACAAAAGTATAAAAAATGCAATAACAAATCAAAAGTTTTAAGTTATCTTCAAAGTGGCAATTTGATAGTTTGTTGACAGTAATACAATTAAATACAGTTAATTTAAATTGATAAAAGGTATGGGTATTAGGGTAATTTTGTTTTTAATTACCTCAATATTTAATTTTTTGAAAATCTATACTTCACGTTGATTTTATCATTGAAATTGCTAAAATTGAAATTGATAAAATCAAGCAACTTTGAATCGAAGAATGATAATAAATAGTACTAATATTTTATCGCTTGAAAATAACAAACTATCAAAACCCTAAGCACTCTGTTAACAATATGGCGATGTTTTCTCGTTTTTTTTATTCACGGTTTTTCTGACATGAACGATAGGTTAGGTTGGATTTTGGATGCTTTTGACATTTTTTTGTGTCTTTTGCGATATTTTATCAAGATAGTCATAGCTTGATTGATTGTGATATTGCAATTGCATGGAACAATTTTGTTCTAATTAAGTTCAACATATTATTATGACACTGTTGGGAATTTTAATACCTAAACACATAAACGCGATAGTATAAACTTTGGATCTTTAATATCGAATCTGATTAAAAAAAATTTAAACGATAAGAACGAATGATTCATACTTGATTTCATTATGATATTTGAATCCGAAGAACTAGATTGAGTTTTCCAGTTGATCTTAAGAACTCTCTAAAATCACTCATCCATTTAACCCGCGAATCTTATGTGTGTATTCAATATGTCTTAATTTGTTCCCCATCACATGTATATATAGATTGACATATACCCTAATGTGAGAGATGGAAGCAAACTAGAGGATCTTGAGTCAAACCGGTAACTCAACCCATAAGGTAAATAATATTTTATAAATCGGTCCATCAACAATTTATATTCTTTTCATAATAACGGATTTAATGATAACATTACATATATATGAAGTGGTCACCTAATTATCTAACAATCTCCCACTGGACCACAAATATATAAATGTACATATAATTGTATAAGCACTTTAAAAAATGCTATCATAATAATGGTACCCTTAAACAATCTCGTACACTAATCATAATAGTATATGATCAAGCGGTCTTCGTTACAATTTACGTAATTAAACCTATCAATGGTCACATATACATATATAACTAACGACATAGATTATATATGATGTGTAGTTTTAAAATCTAAATAGATTTACAACAAGTTCCTCTCTAACTTGAATTGAGATCAAATTTCAAATAAGTGCAACTAATAATGGAGTTAACCAAATTCTTAGTTCTGTACATAAAACATAATAAAGCACCATAAAAGTCCCACTAAAACCAAATATCACACCAGCGTGTGTACTATGCTCATGAAAGACCTAAGGAGGTAATGAGCGGATTCGCTTTTATGGAGTTTGTTCATATGTGCTATATATATATATATATATATATATATATATATATATATATATATATATATATATATATATATATCCATTTTGCACTATTGTATTAACAGAAGGAAACTTAATGTCAATATCCTTTAACTTAATAGAACTTCTGTTATTGGAATATAACATTGCTGACTTATTATCACAACTTTAGTGGTCCTTCAATACCAATAATGTGTAGCCTTGTGACAAATTTCCGCAACCATATTCCATACTACAAATTATGTTGCCATTAAGGAAGAAGCTACCGAAGTCTATTCCATGAAATGGCTCATCATGCTAAAATGTAAAAGTATCCTGATATGGATCAGTAACCATTTTAGCATCTGATAAAATTAATTCTTAATATAAAAATTATCTCTAAAACATCTGAATTTCCTATAGTACATAGATATCTCAAAATTCATTTGGTTGCTTTCTTATGATCCAAAATTGAATTGCATAGATATCTGCCCAAAACCAAAAAGATAAATTTACTCCCACTTAATTTGTGATTCACAAAATCCTCTACTATATTTACCTCAATACCAAAACAGATAATAAATTGATGAAAATGTGGTACCACACATAGGATATCCAAAATTGAGGTTGTTGAGTTTGTGCATTCAGAATAGGATATTGAATAACATTGTCGATCACTGGTTCATACTATCGAAAGCAATAATAGGAATCAAGATTGATTCCTCCTTAAGGACAATGTTTTAACATTGTTTCTCCCCCAAACTCAACATCCTCAAAGAATGTTGCTCTACTCAAAATGCAAGGTTAATATCCATGCAATTGAGAACTAACATAATGCCCTCATTCCATTCCTTAAAGTTAATTTCATTAAGTACATGAATTATAAATGTGATCAATGTTAACATATATAATACCATAATTCAAATATAAGCAAATCTATTTTTTATACTCATTAATCCATAAACTCTAATCAATAAATTCAATTTATAACATCTTTACAAAGTATCAATACAACATTAATATCAAGTCTTTGGATACTAATACTAACTTGCAAGAGATAATCTTGTTTTAGAGATAAATATTGACAATAAATCATGTCAATTAGCAAATCCCTCTTTGCTTGACTTATTAATCACATTGAACAAAAAATAAAATCACCACATATTTATCACAACATATATGTTTATTCAGCCAAATATCAGTCTACCTTTGGATCGGCTAATACTCGCATTAATAAACACATAAACTATAAATTTTGATAATAAGAATTGACAATATATCATGTCAATTTAATAAGCCCCTCTTTGTATTAACTTATTAATGACATGTAACCTAAAAATTATCGCATATTTATCATCAAACATGTGTTTATCAGACCAAATATTAACCTACCTTTGGGTCGATTAATATATGCATTAATAAACACATAAACCATAAAATCTAATAATAAACATTGACAATAAATCATGTTAATTAACAAGCCCCTTTTTGGATTGACTTATTAATAACATGTAACCTAAAAGATTATGGCATGTTTATTATTATATATGTGTTTATTCGGCCAAATATTAACCTACTTTTAGATTGATTGATATCCGAATTAATGAACACATAAACCATAATATTTAGATTCTTAGAAAATTAATATTTACCAAAAAAAAAAAGATCACATTCGCGATATATTATATCACTAAATTTTCCAAGAAAATAAATAATAACATAACTTAATTTATTGATAACCACACATAAAAGACAACCATACATGAAATGGTGTCAAACTGATATATAACAAATTATCAAATAATTTCCTTAAATGGGCCACAATACTTTACACCAATTAGATTGTAAAGATAATGATGTCAACATAGTTTACTTGACAAATTTATAACATGTCATTATTAAAAATATATTGATAATCAAAATAATAATAATAATAATAATAATAATAAATTAAAAAATTAAAAAAAAAAAAAAAAAAAAACTTAACTTGAGTGCATAGATTCCTTGTATTGTTTATAAAATAAAACTATTAAATAATGATTATCAAATAACCAAAATAATAAATCATAATAACAGATGGCTTCAATTAGATCCAATGTTCTAAATAACGTGAGTCATGGGCTTGGCGGCGATATCAAAGCTAAGTCATGACAAGCTTTGGTGAGCCATGATGTTTTTCAAAGCGTGATTATTTTATATAAATTAAAAAAGATAAATTATATAATTATTGAAATTTATCATATATATAAAGTTTTTAGAAGTGTTATATTAATATTTAAAATAAAAAAGTTAACAAAAACAAAATTATTTCAGAGCAAATAAGAAAAAACAAAAAAAGACCCACGCCTTGAAAAAAAAAACTCGTGGCATAACGTGATAAGGTACGTCTTGACACGTTTTTTGGACGCCACGTTAAACAAACCCGGATTTGACATTTTCGTAACAGTTAGGCTACGCCTCACGCCATGGTGCGCCTCGTGTCATTTTAGAACGATGATTAGATCCCCAATACATGCCTATTACATAACAAGGAAATGATCATGCATATTTTCCATTGATTATTAACCAATTGGAAAGCAATAAGGTAGTACATCTAAAACAAATTTCGTAGTCTGTTGGCTGAATTTCTCATTTGCCATATTCTTACATATATATAATGAAATCAAATGAAATATGGTCATAAAAATAAATTAAGAGTGATGTTGATAGCCGACTCTTGGTAACAAGAAATTATTTTTTATTAATTTATTTTTTGTTTCTTGAAAAACGACATTAAAACCCAAAGTTCTGAGGATTAATAAAAGGTATGTAATAGTTCAAAGATCAACCGAACCCAAACCAAAATAAAATTCCAATAACAGATTTGGGGAGGCTCTGATACCAATTGTTGGGAATTGTAATACCTAAAAACATAAATGCGGAAGCATAAACTTTGGATTTTTAATCTCAAATCTGATTAAAAGAAAACTTAAACAATAAGAATGAAGGATTGATTTCCGATTTCATTATGATATTCGAATCCGAAGAACTTTGTTGAATTTTCCAGTTGATCTTAAGAACTCTTTAAAATCCCTCAGCAATTTGACCCCCGAATCTTATGTGTGTATTCTATATGTCTTGATCTGCTCCTCATCACATGTATATATAAATGGAGATATACCTTAATGTGAGAGATGGAAGAGATCTTGAGGATCTTGAGTTAAACCAGGAATTTTAACCCACAAAGTAAGTAAATATTTTATAAATAGGTCCATCAACAATTTAT